GAGTAAGATTAGGCCGGACCGACATGACCCTTCTACTCAGTCCATAAGTGCATAGAATTCTGATGTTAAAGCTGGTCGCTTATGTGGTGTAACTTTAGTACTTTATGATCGTATTACCAAGAAAAAGACGTCTCTTTCAATTTTTCAACACGAATAGTTCGTTGTTATGTTTGTAAAGTGAAAACAATTTTTTTCTGTTGTGTTCTTGAAAATGTTCTGAAACTTTAAAATCAGATTTGGAAAAAAACAACAACAGCAACTTCTCTCGCAGACTGTAGAGTTTTAGATTACTAGTTGGGGAAAAGATAATATTAGAATAAAACTTTATGACAATGATTTACAACTTCGCAAAGGATTTGCTGACATTTTAAGACTTCTTGGAAAAGAAAAAGACATTTATTGTTCATACTGGCCCGTCTCCTTGTTTTACCAACTGGTTTCCTTTGACTTGGGATGATTCAACAATAAGTCGAAGCACGGAGACTCAAAATTATTTTTGTGTCCAATTTGCTGAGGTATTTTCTGTGCTTTGTCAGTTTTTAGACTAAAGCAATGGAAAGGTAGTGTTTTTCGCTAATGTTTTCAAGTAAAAATTAATATTTCTTTTGTTTTAATCCTTTAGTACTCCAACCACCTCGTGCCTTAGAGGAATTACGAGAAGCAATGGATAAAGACGAATTGAAAACATTCCTTACTATTCACATCAGAGAAGGTGCATGGCAAGTGGTGCTGCTGTTTATGGATGAGCTCCCTAAATATAAACTACCATGGGACTGGTGTGGTATAATTCTTATCAAGGACGAGGACGAGGAGGTATCTAATGAAGTGATATACAGTTCGACGTCAGGCATATTGAATGGGTGGCCAACACATTACGACCCTAGTTTGGAAACACTGTGTAAAGTGATCACCAACAAGGACTGGAAAGTAACCAGATTAATTCTCTCTCTGAGTCGGATACCTGATGAAGGTTTGAAGAACTTGAGTACAGCGCTTACTCAGAGTGAACTTTACAGCTTGACACTGTATGACATTGGTTTACAAAGTCAAGGATTAGAACACCTGTGTAACGCGCTAACCAGCGTCAACTGCAGATTAACAAACCTAAATGTCAGTAACAATCAGTTGGGAGACAACGGATTGAAACACTTGTGCGATGCATTGACCAGCAGTAACTGTGCTTTAACCAAGTTAATAGTCGGTTTTAATAGATTAGGAGATGGAGGAATAAAAGAATTGTCCGAAGTTTTAACCAAAGGATTCTGTACATTAACAAGTTTAGACATACGCGGCAATGAATTTGGAGATGAAGGAATCAAGCACTTGTGTAAGGCCTTGACTGATACCAAATGCAAACTACGGAGCTTAAACCTCCGGGCAAATTGGTATGTAACAGATGATGGAAAAAAATATTTGTCTCAAATGTTAACTGGTACTGACTGGGAAGATGAAGGAGCTCTACGACTTTACCGTTCGACTACAAAGGAGACCAAGGAACAAGTCAGTGACACAGTGCCGTGACAGGTTCCTCCTGTTATGTTTCGCTTGTCATGAAATAAATTCCATTTTTATAAATGACAACTTAAAGATTATTGTTCAAGGTGATTAATTCGATGACTGACCTTCTAGTCACTATCACTTGTTGAACGGAGTATTAAAACTGACCAGCAGTGAGGCAGTCGAAACATCGCGATCAAGAATCAAGGAATGACTCGGTATCATGACACAAATGATTATTAAACGTTCATTGTTGGATAGACGAATTTCACTGTTTTAAAAATTAGACTATAAATGCAACTGTAATTTCGTATAACAGATCTGTTGGTAACAGTGTCAAAATTTTGTAAAAAATGTTTTGAGCTACAGGCAATTGGTTATACGGGTGATAAAGCTGTAATAAGATGCCAAGAATATTGAATGATATTTTGATAACCTATCTAAAGAATATCGTTGTCTACTAAAAGAAAACTTTGAAAAGACTACATGAATTAGTGACGTATAAATAAAATAACAACATATTTTCTCAATTTTGTTTAGGCTTTTTTAGTATAATGTTTAAGCTTCATTTAAATATTTGGAATGTTTTTTTCTGCCTTGTTCATTTTCGAAGCCAAATGTAGGCGTTGTAAAACCAATTGTATTCTCGTTCAAATGAGTTTATTTGGACTTTACCTCGTAATTCATTTACGCGAAGCTTTTTCTCTAACTCGTAATTTTTTCATCCTAGTTGATGATTTTATGAAGAGCGGAGTTTTGTAATACTCTTAAATTACATACGAATGGTAGGAAATTGTTTCAGGACGGGTTACGTAGTCTTATTAATGTATAATCCCTTTTTCAATTTACCGGAATAGTTCAGAATGTAATGTAGACGTAATCTAATCGATAATATTTAAGTTATTGTTCTAAAGTTCTCAACTCTCAGTAGAAATCATATTTTACATATATATTTGACATTTTTTAAAGGACCACACTGAACTGCGAAGTATATTAACCAAGGACATTGAATATGTGAAAGGACTGCAGTTAAATGTAATAAATGTGGTTTTGTTTTTTTACGATATCTTTTACTGAATCCGTCAATAGAGCCTTAATGAAGGAAACACGGGCTAAAACACACGTACCCGTTTTATTTGGACACGAAGGTTCTTTTCCCGTTTGTATTTGGTCCAGAATAAATAGAAGTAACTCCATAGTGAAAGTAGAACTCTAAATGGCTTGCGCAAGAGCCTTGTTCAGGGCTCTTTGTGGGTAAGTGTCGAGTAATTTCGGATGGCAAGAACGCTCTTCCATGAAACCAACTGCTTGGGCTTAGACTTGGACTTCCTTTCAATCTTCACGCAAATTTACTGACAACAGAAGCTTGGGAAAAAGGTATACTTTAATTTTGGCACCCTTTATACGAAGCGGAGTAACACTGAGTTGTTTTCAAAAAACATCAAACAAACAAATAAACAAACAACTATATTCCCGGAATTATACCAAATTTGAATGAATTATTAAACAAAGTGCATAGGGGCGAGGCTTGTGAGTAACTGCAACATTTCAAGATTCTTGGGTGAAAGTCGTCGGGTTGCAGTTTTTATAGACATTTAATTCCAACTGGAGATTTTTAACTTCAGTGCATTTGAAACCTGCGCGAAATTATTTGTCCTATCAACTTTCAGGAAGTTAGGAAGATTCAGTCAAGTTTTCCGATGCGAAACATTGATTTAAACTATCTGCAATGTTTTTTTGATCAGTCAGAGTATCTGTACCAACTTAAAGTATCTCAAGGTCGTTCGTTCAATTTTTGCCGTCACCTTCCTTTGCAATCTTGACACTTCGTTGTTTAACGGTAATCTCAAAGCTCTTGGTTGAAAGACTTAATTTTTGTTCTATTATTCAAATTTTGGGAACACGTCTGATGCATTTAAAGTCGTTCCTGTTATAACTTATATATTCTGGCTCTGTATTTTTTTTTTTACTTTTAATTTTTGCTACAGGAAGTTAGATTTAAAGCATGTCTTGAAGGATAGTAACAGCCAGGACAGGAAAATCAAACGCTTATCTCAAAAGAATATAAAAATTTTAAGTTCCTACCTTTTTTTGAGATTCTAATGAGCAACCTTATGTAAAGCTTTCTTCTCGATTTACCTCCATCGCCACGGTTTTTGGAGAAGTACATGAAAGAAAGCCCTTATGCCAGAAACTTCCAGTGCTCTCCTTTGTTGTTTACTCAGTTAGTTCTCTGAGGCAGATTTACGTTTTATGAAAACTATTCTATTCTCTTTCAAATTAGTTTATCAGACCTAGGAAATCATTTAGGCAAAGTTTGGACTCTAACATGTTATTTTTTCGAGCTCAGCTGATGATTTTATCAAGAACAGAATTAAGTTATACTCTATAAATTACTTTTGGTAGGAAACGACTTTACGAGTAATGCAGTTTTTGCAATATTTTAATCCCTTTTTCACTTTAATATATTTAAGTGAAAATGACATTTTATTCCTTCCTATTCTACAGAATAGGTAGGGATATAATGTCAAAGTTTCTAATTAATTACATGAGAAGTTGTTGTCTTAGAAGTTATAACTCTCGAATAAACTATAGTTTGCATATATATTTTATAATTTTTAAATGTGAAAACAAAAGTTTTTAAAGCAGAAATTTAATACTATGTACTTATGACAAGTTTTGATTTGGATTAAAAATTTAATTCGCCTAAGGGTGGGTGGGGGTGGAAGATTTTGGGAGATAACATGGTTTTCAGGGGGAGTGGAGGGGGATCAGTCGTTGCTAACAGAGTGTGAAGTGTGTAATTGACAACCAATGAAATGTTTGTGTGTTGGGGTGGGGGGAGGGAGGGAGGAGAGTATATCAGAATATTACAGAGCCTTAGGGGAATTAGATAAATTTTACTGACACACAACCAAATTCTTCCAACCCTTCTAAAGGTAATGAATAATGACCAGTCCAAAAGACTCGTGTAGATTGATAACTGTTCAGCAAGTCTGAGGCTCAAAGCTCCATCAAAGACAAGAGACTACATGTCAGGGACCGCGCAGAGGGAGGGGCTGGGGGGGCTTTAGCCCCCCCCCCCCACCTTTTTGTAAGAATAAAAATAAATTTAAAAAAAATAATTTAACAAAAAATTTTCCTTCACGCATTCTTCTTTAGCCCCCCCACTCGGAAACTTGCTGCGCGGTCCCTGCATGTCGGAGAGCTCCTGTTTACCAGCTGGTTGTTCTGGTTGCTACTGATACTGATAACATTGAAAAAATTGTAGATCACCCAGTGATCTGCTGTTACTCTGTCAAATTAAAAATTGATGCCTCAAAATCAAGACTTCTGTAAAACCCACGGGGTCTAACTAGTCTCACTTGTCTCACTAATCTAGTCCCAGGGTCTTCCGTTCAGCTGACATATTAATGAAGAAAACCGAAAAGCACCAATTCTGTTACATACATAAGATGCCACTATCGTCAATTCCTCAAATCCTGAAGTTGAGAGAAGAGGTGATTCAGCGGCAGAAACCTTTGGGGCAGTGCAAAAACGATTCTGGTCTCGTCAAGACATCAGAATAGCTTCTGAGATCAAATTGGATGTATTACTGTTGTTCTTCTATCTCTGCTTCATTTAACACAAACAATGGCATGATACCGGAGGTATCTCAGAAAGCCAACCAGGATAAGACTTTGGTACGAGCAGAATCTCACACCACATCACACATCCCATAGTTGCATTACATTAAAGTGAAGTAGTGAGGATAGAAACTCTGCCGAAAAGATTTGCTAAAGCGTTACACGAAGAATACAGGTATGAATGACCGCACTTGAGAAGTAATGTCATCATGTGTAGAAGCAAATTGTGCTTCATTGTGCAAAGAATCAACTTCAAGGAAGGAGAGGAAAAGAACTCTACCAAGAAAGGTCTGAAAACAAGAAATAAACTTAGAAGAGCTCTTTTCTGAGTAGAACTATAAGGTCAGGATTCTAAGATCTGATCAGAACACATCTATTTCGAATTTCGAAAAGTAACTCCTTCTTTGGAGAGAGATCGAAACACGTTCCACGGCATCGTGGTTAGACTGCCTTGGTAGTAAAATTGATGTTGTTCAGAAACCCTTGTGCCTTAGAAGAGGTATCTTTACAATCGTATAGAAGTCTTCGTTTTCAACATTTTCTTTTCGTATTTCGCCATATTCGTTTTCTTTGAAACTCGTTCATTCTTGGTTTCCATACTCAAATCAGTACGTTTTACAGGAAGTGGATTCAGAATTTTTTCTCAGGAAAGGTGCACTACTGATGATGACGTACCTGACAGGTGAAGAAACAAATTTTAAAAGTGAAAAACCAAGAAGAAGAAGACCTATGACCAGGCAATAACATGAAAGTGGGCGTTGTGCAGAAACATTTGTGTCCCAGACAAGCTTTCTTTACACACGTGAAGAATTCTTTGTTTTCGTCATCTCTTTTTTCGTATTTTGTATTTATTGATTGATCGAGTGGGAGGGCCGGACGGGAAAATATTTGGCTCGAGGTCATGACGTACGGACCGAGCGCTTTGCCATGAAACTCGTGGGTTTTTGCTTTCTGTACACAGATAAGTATGTTTAGCGGCCTACCACAATTTGGTGATTGTTTTCTTTTCTAACGGTTCTCCTGTAAGATTTACATTTATTTCAGCCGCATGATTCCTCACATGAACAGGAAGTGACATGAGCGGCCGTATACATGACATTATCTCGAGCCGCTGAAGAGCTAACCCTGATCTATGGGCTACACTTCCGTGATATCTTAGCTCTCAGTGAATTGAGGGTATAGACGCCATGGCTGAATGCCATTTAGACGACAAGGTCGAAAAACAAGAAATAAACCCAGAAGAGCTCTTGTCTGACCAGAACTATAAGGTCAGGATTCAAAGATCTGATCAGAACACATCTATTTCGAATTTCGAAAGGTAACTCCTTATTTGGAGAGAGATGGAAACACCTGAGAATTCTTTGTTTTCGTCTTCTCTTTTTCGTATTATGTATTTATTGATCGAGTGGGAGGGCCGGACGGGAAATTTTGGCTCGAGGTCATGACGTAGGGACCGAGCGCTTTGCTATGAAACTCGTGGGTTTTTGCTCTCTGAACACAAATAAGTATGTTTAGCTGCCTACCACAATTTGGTGATTGTTTTCTTCTCTAACTGTTCTCGTGTAAGATTTTCATTTATTTACAGTCGCACGAATCTCCACATGAACAGAAAGTGACATGAGCGGCCATATACACGACATTATCTCGAGCCGCTGAGGCTTTGGAAAAAGTAGAAGGAGGAAACACTGTCATTGTTGGATCAGATGAAGATGAAGATGAATGGGCACGAAGGATCAGAGAGATGTATGAAGAAAGTGCAGAAGAGAGAAAAGCCAGGGCTGTGAAGCTTCGTGAGAACTACAGGAAGGTTTACTCTTGGAAAGCAGAATGTGAGAGGTTTAAAGGGCTGATTGAGAAAGTAGTGGAAAATGGTATGTTCAATTATTTTATCTTTGCTCAAGTTTTAGTGCAGGTGATGTTTCTTTAACATACTGTATGTGGAAATATAGAAACCTTATGTAAAAGACTAAATGCAGGCACTATGACATGAAGATAGCACAGCTAGATTGCATGATAAATTTATTTATATAGATGTTTTGGTATGGATAAACCAGCAGTAAAAGTTTCCTTTCACTCACTATTAACTTTAAACCCCCTCCCCCCCCAAGGTGAAATGGAAGCAAAGGAACCCTCGCCTATGTTTTATTTGGTGGGGGGAAGGTTCAGTTACATGTAGGCCAGATTTCAGGTATTGGAAGAAGGAACACTGGTGTAGAAGCCCTCTAATAATGAGAACCTACAAGCAGACTATCATCCTATATGTTTTTAAGTTTAATGTTATATTGATTGTTCAAGTGGATTCGAAGTACAATTTTAATTTAGACACTTTGCTACACATCAACAGATCAAAAATTAAAAATCAAGGTTGACGTGGAACACATGAAACTTGGAGATCATAATGCTTACGGTACAGCTTCAGCTTCAGCTTCAGTGCTAGAGCCAGCAGGATATCAGAAGGCATCCATAGCTTTGGGTGCAAAGAGAAAAAGACAATCTGATAAAGATTTAGAAGATCTCCAACCACTCGAAAAGAAAGTCCTGTGCTTAATTGCTATGAATTACTTTGATACTTCACCACCACAAAGCAGGGATGAATGCAATGAGTTTCTGGAATTCTTAAAAAAAACTTAGGTACTCATTACAAGTGTTTCTGTAGGAAATTTGGTGATAACAGTAAAGTGTGATTCTCTCAAGAGCTTGGAGGAATTATGGAGAGAGTACTCATGCGGCCTTTTGGGTAAGATGGTTCAAGATTGTTTTGTAACTTAACGAGGAACTTAACCTGGCAGAACTGAAGCTGAAAACAACAATGGACATAGAAGAGTACAATGCATACAAACTGTACTTTCTTGAGAAGGATGCACTCAGAGGTCAGTTCAAAGAAGGAAAAAGGCCTGGTTCTTTGAAAAAATGTTTTGAAATGATTAAAAACACAGCACATCACTCATTTAACATGGTGCACCATAGAGCTAACAGAGGTGTAGAGGGGGTTCCAGGTTTTGAACCAATTGTTTCATGACTAATCTCATGCTGACTATGTATACAATGACAATCTGCCACTAGAAGTGATTTGTTTTCAAGAAATTTCCTCGTATATTTTCCTTTCTGTCTGGTTTTATTTATCTTTGGCTTCAAATATAAATAAAATAAAGTAAAACGAGCTAAAATAAAAATTGGCAAGATTTTATTTGGAGGAGCTGTAAAAGAAAATGTTACCTGTATTTATGTGTGGGTTTTTATAAAAACAATTTTAGGTGTGTTGTATGGTTTTGAATGTCAGTATTTAGTGGTTGCCTCATTATTTGTCTTCTTGTAAATCTGATTTTAGGTGCCTCATCCTCTGAATTCCACTTCATCAGTTCAACCAGTGAAAGTCCACAAAATCAAGAAGAGCTGAAAAAATGGAAACAGAAGACAAAGATTGTTGAAACAGAGAAACTGAAAGGTGAAAACAAAATTAAAAGATGTACTAAGTTATTATGGAAAGTTCTTGTGAACAGTAATAACTATTTGTTATTTGACAAAACTTTGAAGAATGATCTCAATGCAGTAATGTGGCATTAGTATTATTTTAAGAGTACAACTTATGGGGAACAACTAACAGCATATCTGTAGAGAGGCTGTGAATACTAATCTCTCCCTGTAATTTTTGCTCTTAGATACTTCACCCCTCACTTCACAGTGTGTTCAGCTATTATGTCAAGTGTAAAGAAGTGATTAAACATTTAAGGTTGCTAGGGTCTGTAGGGTAAAACTAAACTGACAATTATTTGAAATACTTTCAGTTCTCTTTAAAAAATTAGTTCTGAAGAAATTAAAACTCAATTTAGTTTTTCCTAAGGGAATGTTAGGATGGTAGTGGCTAGGGGTGATGAAACAGTGTTAATTATAATAAAATCATAATCATTATAATAAAAGTATTATAATAGTTTATAAAATAATTCAAATATTACGTGTGCTCTGATTGGCCATGAAACCATTTTACATGAGCTTATGTAAACACGGTTTTCATACTGAATCTTCTCGCAGAGTTCTCCCTGCTATTTATTAAGCAGTAACTCAGTTTCTTTAAGTTTGTTTTGAGTACAGTAATGGAAGAAGAAGATTTTCCTAATTTTTCTTTGGAGTTTAATTTTCCCAGTATTCAAGAAACGGCCAAAAAGCCAAATGAACAACAACAACAAGCACATCGCTTTCCTTCGTTGTAAGAAGAGGCTCTTTCATTAGTTATTTTATAAAAGAAATGTAAAATGGTTTCTGTGTTTACATAGCCTGATGTAAACACT